AACAGTTCAAATGTTCGAATTACATTGAACCAGAATTGTCCCCCTTTTTTCTTTAACAGTGAAGAAAAGTGGATATGTTAATGATATATTGACCGCAAAACTCAAAATGTCCCCGGTTTTAATTTTGAAAATCTGGTCACCTTACCTTATTTACATGGGAGCCTGCCTTCAGGCAGCAGTCTCAGGTCTCAGGACAACTGTGTCACTACCCGATCTGCAGTGCGTATGTGTGAGATGGTCCGCCATATTGGAGAACTCCGGACGGCAACCCAAGAAGGACACTTGACACAGTGGCTTTTGGCAAAGCTGAAAAATAGAACTCGAGAGAGATGAGTTATTTTTATTACAACGTGACTTCACTATTATTTAACAACAATTTGTATTGGGTTCTTTTATTTGGGGTTAAGTACGTTGTCAGAATAAGTGAGGAATGGATTTAACTTCTGTTAGACAGCCATATGCCATACATGTTTGCATACATTCACAGTAAATATTTATTCAGTATGATAGCTGTCTAATATAAGTTAAATTCATGTCTCACTTATTCTGACAATGTACTTAACCCCAAATAAAATAACCCAATAAAAAGAGTTGTTAAATAATAGTGAAGTCACGTTGTAATAACAATAACTCATCTCTCTTGAGTTTTATTTTTCAACCTTGCCAAAAGCCACTGTGTCAAGTGTCCTTCTTGGGTTGCCGTCCGGAGTTCTCCAATATGGCGGACCATCTCGCACATGCACAGTACAGATCGGGCAGGGGTACGGATCGGGTAGTGACAGCCGCCATTTTATTATCCTCGCTTTAGCATTATTAGCATTAGCATTAGCCCAGCGCACAAACGCAGAAAGAATAACTTATGGCAACACAAAAGAAAACATGGGAGTATACGTCGTGAAGTTGTTTGCGGCCTGCCAGTAAACCCAAAGCAGAAGAAGAAGCAGTGACGTCAGTGGCTTAATTTGCCTAACCCTCTCTCAGGGACTTATTCCGGTGTGAACGCGATCTGTACTTAGTTCATGAGAACTAAAAGAGTTCTCATGAACCAAGTTCTGATGAACCTTTGTAGGAAAAGTACTGTGGTGTGAAAGCGCCTTGTGCTATTGACAAAAAAAAGGAACGCTGACACATCAATGATACAAAAAAAAAAGAGTATGTGTGAGTACTTACTATATGCAGCATGAGATAGTCCCCCAGACCAGATGCACTGTCAATCCTGACCAGAATGCCATCTTTCAGGGAGGTGCTGAAGCCTACGGTCAGCCTATCAGTCCTGGTGCTGGGTCTCTCATTGGCTGGCCACTTGAATGTAATGAGGCCTCCTCCTTTGCCAAAGATGTACGTCGTCCCAGCTGAAAAGAGCAGGAGGAGGAAATATGAAAAATTATCTCAACTCCAAACTAATGTCATGAACAGTGATCAACATCTGAGGCTGTTTGGGCTGTTTTTGCTAGGGATTAAAATGTGTTCCTTTGGACTACAAGCTAAGAACATTTGTATCTGTAAAACTGACAACTGAAAATACCTTTTCTCATGTCCTTAAGAGGAGAGCTAGTTAGCTGTGTGTTTTGATATGCCCTCACTACTAGTTCACCAATGCGGAAAGCTCAGGCTTTTGCACCTTCCCTTCATTTAATTCCTAACCTGTTCCAAGGAACAGCTCGTCAAATTGGTATTTTGTTGCAGGAGCCTGGCACCCCAACTCTTGCCAAGCCACTTTTGGCTGTAGACATTATGGCTTTTATGGAAAGATCGTGGCCCTTTTGACCTGCTGAAAAACTTTTTTTGTCATGTCCTTAAAACAATATTCCAATGACAAGTGCGTTTAAAAGCATTAAGCATCAGTTTTTTCAAATGGAACCACACAACAAAAATAGAAAGGAAGAAACAATATAATTCAAGAGAGATTTAAATATTTGCAAACAAAAAGAACATTATAATACTAGTATTGTGTCATCGCATAGCTCAGTGGTTTGGGCTGGCTTGACCTGGAGCTCATTGCACTGGGTTGGTTACAGGTTTGAACCTAGCCTTTACACATTTTATCCCCTATAATCCCCTTTCAAATAAATCTCTCTGAAAATGACTACATTTGCCCAAAAAGTATCTAAAAGAAAGTAAAATAAATAATACTCAAGTATGGAGCTGAGAGAAGAGTTTATCATTTGTAATGTCAGTAGAGATTATTACTAGGGGTGTAACGGTTCACAAACATTTCGGTTCGGTACGTACCTCGGTTTTTAGGTCACAGTTCGGTACGTTTTCGGCACAGCAGAAAATATTATCACAAAACATAAAATATTTTATTTTTATTTTTTATTATTATTAAACTGGGAATAATGTATTCATTCAAATAAATACAAAATATAATAAAATGAACATTAAGGTGCAGCATTTTTGATTAATTGAAATAATCTGTATTTGAACTTTACTGTACTAGTACTCACAAAACATAAACTATTAGTTTGGGTTTTTTAATTATTATTAAACTTTGAATATTCACTCAAATAAATACAAAATATAATAAAATAAACATTTAAGGTGCAGTATTTCAATGAACTGAAATAATCTGTATTTGAACAGTACTGTACTATACCTAAGCAGCCAGTTTGAAATTATGA